TGAGTGTGCCAGGAAGTGAGTGTGCCAGGAAGTGAGTGCACTATTCCAGGAAGCGACGGTGTTTCTGCATCTCAGAGTGGGGAGCCTGGCGATGTGGTGGCTTTCAGAGGCCACCGCTCAAATGTGTAATGGATCATGCTGATGTCGTTTTAATATGGTGTCCTGCTAAAAGGTTATCCTTGTCTTCTTCTTCTCTTTTCCCCATAGATGATCTTAGTAGCCATATTTTCAGAAACGGGATTTTTCGATTACTGTGCTGTAAAGGTAGGTATGATGTTGCATTTAATACTTCCATACTGATTAATTTATATCTGTATTTTTCTGACATTATATATTTAGGAAACAAACATTAAAAAATTCCATCCTCCTTTTAAAGGTTACTTCTGCAGGGCAGGGTATGCTGACTGTGTTAAGTTGTATGGCTCTGAGTGGCACTTTCAGCTGCTCAGTAAATAAATGAAGAAGGAGGTCAAGGAAAAGGGTATCAGGTTGAATGTTTGTGTATTATTTAAATTGTCTGGTGAGAGCTACACATCAAACATTGTTTTGCATATTAGAGTATCCCAATATTTCAAGCCATTAGCTTCTGATTACTTGGCTTTTTGGTGAAATAATTTCCATGATTACTTCCTAAATATTGAATATATACACATTTATGTTTTTAACTGGAACCCTGGGGAGCTTCACCAGCCAGCTCTAGCCTCCAGGATTTGTACCTGACCTGTCATTCAGGGTTGGCAAGAGGAGAGCTCATCGTGTACCATGCCCTGCTAATGCAGTCTAGTGCTGTGCTTGAGTATGTAAATTTTTTGAAACTGAAAAGGTTTTTTTTAAAAATTACTCAACAGGCCGGGCGCAGTGGCTCACGCCTGTAATCCTAGTGCTTTGGGAGGCTGAGGTGGGTGGATCACGAGGTCAAGAGATTGAGACCATCCTGGTGAACATGGTGAAACCTCGTCTCTACTAAAAATAAAAAAAATTAGCTGGGCGTGGTGGCGTGCACCTGTGG